CCCGGGGAGATCTCCGGCCCACTCTCTGGCCCTATGGCCCACAGGGCTCACTGTGCCAGCCCCTGGTGACCAGCCATCCCTCTTCCTGGCTGGCTCATTCCCCCACGACTTGCCAAGTGAGTGCCCAAGCTGTGCAGTCTTGGCACATTGCTTGCCCTCTCTGGGCTGGAGTCTTTTCTTTGTTAGAGGAGAAGGGAAGAGGAGGGGCTGTACTGTTGAGTGGTCAGTGACCCTCCTCGCCTCCCTACCTGGACTGTGGATGGGCCTAGGCCAAGCCATCCCAGAGTTGAAAGGCCACAGGGCCAGCCAGCCAAGTGAGTCTCCTGTGTCCCTGTGCACATTTCACAGATGCAGTGGGAACTAGAGGCCTAAAGAGGAAGGTGGGCTTACCAAGCGTTCCCAGCCAGCCATTGCCTGGGCCAGGAGAAAAGCAGTGGGCCTGGGAGAGCGGGGCCCGGAGGAGTGGGGGATCTCTGCAGGAAGGCAGACTTAGTGGTTGCTGTCAGGGTACCAGGCAGCATCGGTGTGGTGCTCCCTCTCTGCTTCAGTTTGCCCATTGGTTCAATGGGCACATCCCAGTTCAATGCCCTAGTTTTCAGATGAGGACATGAGGCCACAAGAGTTCAGGACTTGAGTCCTGACTTGGGGCAAGAAGGAAAAAGGGAGATGGTCAAGTTCTGAAGGAGGCCTGGGTCCCAGCCTTTCATCTCAACACACAGCTTCCTGGCTGAGCATGTTGGCGAGTGTCTCCTTCATCCTCAGCCCTTGTTCTTTCATGTGTAGAATGTGTGTAACACCGTGCCTGCTCCAGGGGCTCTGTATGCTGAGAGCTCAAAACGGCTGGGGCACAGTAGCAACCGTTGGAACACACCTGAGGTCCCAGATTGGGTAGGGACCTAAGCTGTGCTGCTGAGTAACATGTTGCTCCTTGGGACCGGCAGGTGGGCTAAGGACAGAGACTCTTTTCTTGGGGGCCCCTGGATTCCATCCTCACCTCCATCTTCCACACCAGGGAGCCAGGGCTCTGAGTTCCAGGCCCGGGCCACCCTCTAAGGGCTGTGGGCTGCAGGCCAGCCCTCACCTCCAGAGTGGGAGACCACTGTAGTGTTGGCCACTGCTCAGCCTTGAGTCCTGGCCTCATTGTGACCCTGGGGCAAGTGGCTTCTCTCATGCCTCAGTTTCTACTTTTGAAGGAGGAGCTTAATAAGAGCAGATTCCTCCTGGGGCCTTCATGAGGGGTCCCTGAAATCCCAGGTGCAAACTGTAAGGTGCTGACCTGGGGTTGTGTCCTGGGTGGACACTGGGGCCCTGAGAGCTGCTGGCTATATTACTGATATTTTGCCAGATACCCCAAGGGCCCTAACTTCTGCCTTCCTCTCCTTTGGGTGTTTATTTTTGAAAATGGAAGGACTTGTGGGCAAGGGTGCCCTGACTATACCACACCCTGGGCTGGGTCGGCCCCATACTCAAGCCCTCTCAGTCCTTTCCTGCACAGGGATCTTACCTGCTGTTATATTTATCATCATTAGTTGACTCATTTTACAGGTGAGAAAACTGAGGCCCTGGGAGACTGTAACCTGTCTGGGTCTGTGATATGGAGGTGGGCAGAGGTCTATCTGGGCAGTGCCTGCTCAGCCCTCCAGGCCATCTCCCCCAGTGTTCTGTATCCTCCTGAGGCCTCTCCAGCCCCCCCACCACTCCTTCCCCTTCCTCATGGCCCCATGTTTGGGAGAAGGCAGTGGCCCCGCTCAGACAGGAATGTGGTAGCTGACCTTGGGCCAGAGCCTGGTAAGGCAGATAAGCAGGCCCTCCCCTTGGCCTCCTGTCCCTCCATTCTGCCCTCCCTGGGCCGAAAGGCTGTGGACTCTCAGAATTTTGTTTTCCCCACCTGTAAAAAGGTGGTGGGGTGCTGGGGTGCAGTTTCCATGAGCCCAGGCCTGGTCAGAGCCCACCGCAGCTGCTCCTGGTTCCTTCAGTCCAGTAGCTGGAATGGGGACAAAGACCCCGTCAGCCAGCCAGTGTCTGAAATCACCTACCTGCTAAGCACTTTGCAGGCATCCTCTGTCGTGGTTCTCCCAAAACACACTCAGATTAGGGTTCCCAACCTATTTTGCACACAAAGAAATGAAGGATCAGAGAGTGTGGGCGGCTGCACCTGAGTGACACAGCACATAAGTGATATGGAGAGGGGATGGATGGAGTAGTCTGTGTGAGCCCTGCCCCGGCTCCCAGGCCGGGTGCCTACGTTCCAGTCCCCCAAGAACTGGCAGGTGTGTTGCTTCCTGGCCAGGAGGGTAGACCACAAGGGGATCTCTGAACATGGGTATTACTGCCACAGACAGGTAGAATCCTGGGGTCGAGGCTCTTGGACTCTGTGGCTATGAAGCAGTTACTTTGCCTTCCTGAGCCTGTCTCCACTTCTGCAAGATGGGGACACCGGGCTGAGCTCTGAAAGTACCTGGGCCTTGTGCAAGTCATTGAGCCTCTATGAGCCTTGGTTTCCCCCTACAAAATGAAACAGACCTCTTTAGGCATCTCAGTGAAACAGATGAGACTTGACGTAGAAGGTATAGCCTGGGCCAGAACTGGTGTGTCATTTTTATTGTTTTATAAAATTAAAATGAAGAGGACAGAGGGGTACCTCTCCCCTCTCCAGGCTCCAGGCTGCTTCCTTTTGGTTCCTCGTGATGTCTTCAAGCCCTCTAGCTTTCCCAATCTGCCCGTCACAGTCTTCTGCCTCAATTTCCCTTTTCTCCATCAAGCCCCCACCCTGCGAGTCAGACCCAGGGAGTAGGAGGGGGAGGGGCCCCAGGGCCAGGTGGTCTTGGCTGCTTCCTGCAGTAGGGTTTGGGGGAAGAGCTTCCAGAGGGCCCCCCAGTAGAAATAGGACCTTGCAGGCAATGGTGAGTCCATCCTGGACATTGCTGGATTCTCAGCTCCCAGGGAGGAATTGAGGGGCTGCCTCTCGGCTGGTCTTTGGGCTGCTCTGGCAATAGGCACTTAGCCCCTTAAGAAAGGAGAGAAATCCAAGGCAGAGCTATGCGCAGCCGTAGGGCCTCTCCTGGCCTCCCCCATCCACCCTCAGCTTTTCTAGAACCCCAAGTTCATTCTCGATCACCCCAGGCTTGTTGGTCATTTGTCACTGCAGCAAGCATTAACCGAGCATTTCTTAAGCCTTTACTCTGTGCCGAGGACTTTAGCTGTGAGCTCACAGCCTTCCACGAGTAACCTTCAAGGGAGGCTCATTGATTAGCCCAGTGCACAAAAGGGAAACTGAGGTTTAGAGAGTTTGAAGGTCAGACCTAACACTGCAACAAGTTCCTGGGGGAGGGAGGGAGAAGATGGACATAGTGGTGCTTTCCAGGGTAAAGCTCTGTGCTCCTTGCTGGGCCTGGCCATGTCCAAGTTCAAGTTCAGAAACTAAGGCCTTCCTGTGGTTCCAGGCAGCATCCAGCTCTGGTCACCATGCACTTCCTCACTGGCTACATGACCTTCGGTGAGTCCCTTCCCTTTTCTGGGCAGAGCCCACTGGAGTGTCCCCATCCTACTGATATTTTCTGCTGCCAGGGCTTGGGGCTAGAAAAAGGTCCCAGGCCAGGGACAGGGGATCCTGCAGGTCTCAAGGGTAGGAGGACAGAATGTTCACAGCACAACCCCACCTGTTGTGCCCCCACACCACCGTCCAGCTTTCCACTTCATGGGCCTGGCACAGCTCAGGAAGGCCTGGGACAACCCAGCCCACTGGGAACTTGAGGCCTCCTGTCTCAGTTTCCCCTCCTATTCGATATACCCATACCTGGCTCCACCAAAACCAAACATTTTCCCAGAGAGCAGAGGAAGAAGCCCTATACTCATCTGGTGACCTTGAGGGTCAGCTGGCACCCAGGTCCTCGGGGGCCAGAGCAAGGCCAGTGGTCCCCCTCTCCCTCCCGGCTTTGCCAGCCGGAGCCCAGTCTGCCCCGAACTGTCTCCTGGTCCGGGCCTCTGGCAGGCGCAGGTTTCAGCTCCTGTGATAACTCGGAAAGTTGAACTGGCCCCATTACTGCGCTGAGATGGTTGGCGAGATACCACCTTGATAATGGGGGAGATACAGCCTCTCCGTGGCCAATAGCCCAGCCTCTCCACCCATTAACATTCCCCACCAGCGATCCGCTCCTGCGCCTATCTCCTCCATTTCCACTCCTCCCGCAGATAAGAATGGAAATTCTGACTTCATAGCTCACTGATTAAAGTGTCTGGATTTCTTGATAATACACAGATAAATTATGTTTTTGAAAAAGAAGGTAGGGAGGAGGGTGGGGAGGGTGGGGGCCCTGGAGGGGAGCCCTTGGCTGTCTCTCCAGCCTTTCCTGGCCCCTGGGCAGGCCGTGCACCTCAGAGCGTCCAGCATGCACCTCCCAGGTTTTGGTTCAAAGTCAGCATCCAGGAGCCAGCTGGGAAGGCAGAGCAGGCCTCCCTCAGAAGGAGGAATCACGTTGGAGGGAATTGTGCCCAGGCCTGAGGGGCAACCCCTCTGGGGGGAACTATTGGGCACCCACTGTATAACCAGACACTGTTTTAGGTGTCCAGGAGACACAGAGACCTGAACAAGCAAAATTCCCAGTGGGGCTGGGTGGTCCCAGGTCCTCCTGAACGATGCCAGGCCTGAGCCAGGAGTTGACCTGCCTGCCTGGACTCTAACTCTTAGGGAATAGCTCTGTGCCTCAGTTTCCTCATCTGTCAAATGCACACAGGCTGTGGAGAGGGTGCAGTGTCCTCAAAAAGGCAGGAATTTTGTTTGTTCAGGTCTCTGTGTCTCCTGGACACCTAGAGCAGGGCATGGTTATACAGTAGGTGCCCAATAAATGTTGAGGGACCAAGCAACGCCCCATTTGCCAGTTGGGGAAGGGAAGGGCTCCCTCCCACTTGTCTCCCTGCCTCGTCCCCAGCCATCCTGCCTTTCGAGGCCTGCCCGGCTGCCACGAGTGACAGCAGCACCCAAATGGGACTGAGGTGCCATCTCCGAGTCTGTCTGGATAAAGCCGCATCCTTCAGCTGATCCGAGATCCTGCGCTGATGGTGCGATTAGCAACGATTAGGGCTGGCGTGTGGCTAATCCTCCTGCTGAGGGACAGGTGAGGCAGCTGTGGTGAGGGCGGCGCCTGCAGAGGGACACCCAGCTGTTTGGGAGGGGAAACCAGGGCCCTGGCAGCCTTGACATGCCAGCTGGGCTAGTGGTCAGGCAGAGCCCACCTCCCTCGCTGCAGAGAGCCCTCCAGAGGGACTGCAGGGGCTCCCGGCAGGCACAGGGCAACGGGCCATTTCCCCCCCTTTCTGCAACTCTTTCAAAAATGAGATTCTCTGTGAGCCCAAAGGCAGGAAGCCTGAGTGGACAGTCAGCGGCATTTGTGGATGGCTCTGGGACTCCCCAATTATAACAATCCTAATGGTGGCCATTGTTAGATAATACCTTCCTTTACTAGGCTGTTTGCCAGGCCTGGACTTGACCTGGGTTATCCTGAAGAGTACTCCCAGCAGCCCTGAGAAGGGCATCTCTGACCTCATTTCTCCTTGGAGGATTCAGACTCAGAGAGGTTGAACAATTCACCCAAGGTCACACAGCATGGGAGGGAGCAATAAAGACCCTGGCTTAGAGGCCTGGTCAAGGTGAGCTACTGCTCTGAACCACACAGCCGTGTCCAAGAGCAGTAGATGATAGGTGCCTCTACATCTGCCCCCAGAAAATTGGCTCCTTTTATGATAAAGTTGGTTTCTTTCTGTCTTTGGGAGTTTGATTTATTTCAGTGTTCTAGGGGAGGTCAGCTATTTTTTAGTAAAATTAGTGCATGTACAGGTGAGGGGGACAAGTGTAGAGTGGGGTACCTGGGGTTTGATTCCTGCCCCCTGAGCAGGTGGTCTGGGCAAGTGACTTAATGTTTCTGGATCCTAGTTTCCTCAGCAGAACAATGGGCATGATCTCAGTTCTGGCCTCCTTGCCTTTGAGGCATGAGAAGGAGAGAAATGGGTTAAGCATCAGGAACTCAGGGGTTCTCTGAGGGGCATGGACAGTAGGGTGGGCAAAAGTAGGTTTACAGTTGTGAATATGGGAACCAGAGTTTATTTTTGTATTATTTATTAATCACTATTATTGTCCATATAAACAACTATACATCTACCATTGCCCCACCCTGTGCGGGTCTGCCTGCTACACATGCTCCACCAATGCTACCAGCACTCTTCCCGGACTTTTTTGGCAAATAGCTCTGGTTTGCAGAGGCCCAGGGCCCTGTCAGTGATGCAGGTGGTTCTAGAACATTTGTCCTATGGGCCTGGGAGTCCATTCCTTGGAGAACCTTCCATTTTACCAGAGCCGGAGGGAACACAGAGAGAGTGTGGGGTCCAGCCTGCCTCCTCTCTGTGGCTCACAGGCACTGCCCTGTTCTGAGCCTCAGTTTCTACATCTGTAAAATGTGGCTGGAGATACTTACAGGCCTTGGGCTGAGAGTCAGGCACCTGCTGTGGCCAACTCCCCTGAGGGCTCCCCATTCCTATGCAGCTGTGCCCATCCTGGCCTCGCAGGATGTCTCAAGGGAGGAGCTCAGCACCCAGTCTCAAGGCCCAGATTCAAATCCCAGCCCCACCCACTTTTGTCCTGTATCCTCTCTGAGCCTCCCTGCCCTCCTCCATGAAGTGGGGAGTCATCCCCCCTCAGGAGAGCCCTTGAGTGAGCTAATGAGAGGGACCCAAGGTCTTCACTCTGCAAGGACCCATGTGCCCACTGCTATTGACAACCACCCCAGGACACCTGCCCCTTCCAGCCGAGAACTCTGGGCCAAGATGCTGTGTGTGTTGGACACAGCTGGAGGGAGCCTGAGGAGGAGGCCCTACCCCTTGGTTGCTACACTTGGGGGCTGGGTGTGGGGGTATGTCCCACCCTCCCCCTCCCCAACAAGACAGAAAAAAAGAAAAGGGAACTGTGATAAAAAGGGTGATAGGCCTGTGCGGTGGAGGAGTCCTATCTCTGTTATCTATCTGCCGGCTGCTCTGAGCAGTTCTGTTGTTTCCCTTATCTCACCCACCAAAATGCCAAGAACAAAAGCACGAACGCACTCATACACACACACACCCGGGAGCCCACCGCCCCACAGCTCGTGCAGTCCCAAGAACGTGGTGCCACTAGATCTAAGGTGAAAGCTAGGGGGTTCAGGTTCTCTTAAAGCTATGATCATCATCATTTTGCAAAGGAAGCCCAAATATAGCCCTCCCTGAGACAAGGCAGCTAAAATTAAGAAGTTACCCTGGAAGGAAGGACCTAGCCTTGGGGAGGGCAGGGGGTAGGGGGAAGGAGAGACAAAGCTCTAGCTGTGCTGCTACACCCTGGCTGTGTGACCTGGGGTCAGTATCTTTCCCCCTCTGAGTTCCTAATTGGGGGTAGGGGAGTAGGTAGAGTATGAGGATTTAAGGGAACCTTAGAGGAAAAGGAAGAGCCTGCACTATAACCAAAGTCTTCCCCAGGCTGCAAGCAACCGACCCATTGTGTTCCAGGCTTGGGGCTGGGGCAGGCCAGTCACCCAGAGCCTGGCAGTCTCAGAACTTGCTCCCTAACATAGTCTCCCCCAGAGCCCAGTCTAGCCCCTCAGGGCCCAGGCCCCCAGCCTGGCATCCCAGAGCCCGGTACCCCCTCTAGCTTGACATCCCCTAGAGTCCATCATCTCCACAGCACAGCTCCCCTTTCCTGGTCTGGCACTTCCAGAGCCCAGCACCCCCAAATCCTAGCCCAATCCCCCTCAACTTCCCCCCAGAGCCCAGCCCCTCAGAACCCAGGTCCCTCAACCTGGCACCCCAGAATCTGGCATTCCCGGAGCTCTAGGCCCCCAGAACCCAGCCCTCCCCCCACTCAGAACCCCTTGCCTGATCTCCCAGCCAAGGCCCCTCCAGAGTTCAGTCCCCTGAGCCCAGCAACCCTAGCTTGGCCCCCCAACCCTGCCTACCCAACAGCTTCCCTGCAGGCACCCCCTCAGCCAGGGAACCAAGGTCCTAACTTGTATGTTGGCAGCCAATGGAAGCAGGGTATGCAAATAAGCATGAGTGTGACACAGGGATTGGCTGTTCACTGAGGGGTGGGGCCACCTCCAGTGTCCCAGCCCAGACCTTGGCCGCCTGGGCCTGGTGGAAATCCCCTCTTCCCAGGCTTTGGAAGGGCCGGCCTCTCCAGACCTTGCTGCTGAGGCTATCCATTTGCATGAGCAGAGGAATGGGCAGGTTGGCCTTAGATGACCTCCTGCTGACCCTCAGAGCGCAGACCCCCACGGCCTGAAATTGGGGGCCAGGATTTGTGTGTTCCTGAGATCAGCACTGACAACTCTGACTCCCAGATGGGAACACCAAGTTCAAAAGCAGGGTGGGGACAGCTCAAGGCTGGCCAGCCTCCCCTTCTACTCCCTGTGTCTGGCACCTCCAGACCATGTGCATGCTGTCCCCCGACTCTCTGCCCTCCTCCAGCTATGATTTTTATCTAGAACTTGGCTCTGCCAGGCTCTCTGTAGCACCAACTTCATGAATGACAGTTCCAACCCGTTTGCCAGACCTGCTCCCCGCTCTGTAAATCTGAGGGTCTGGTCTCTGCCTCCCAGGGTGGTTTCTGTGTCCTCCAGCAAGCCCTGTTGCTCCCGAGCCTCAGTTTCCCCATCCACACAAGGAGAAGGAAGTTCTCTGGGGGCTCCCTACTCTTTCTGTGGCTGTGGCATACTCTAGAAACTTGGGGTCTTCCAGATTTCCCATTTTCAGAAATTTACATGACAGGAAACCATGTCTGTAGGAAGTGTTCAAGCAAGTTTGGGGCATTCTTGTGTTCAAAGTCACTTTGCACCCCACGGGATATGTTGTCAGCAAGATTGGGCCCAGGTAGGCCCAGCCAGAGCCCCCCGCCCCCCCTCAGCTCCCATGGCACCAGCAGGGCTCGGTGACCCAAAAACCAGCCACAGGCGTGGGTGTTTTCAAAAATGCGTAAGTGGAAAATAGCAGAGAGGTGAGAAGGGAACGAGTTTGGGCTGAGATCTAAGGGGAGGAAACGAGGAGGGGGCCGTCGGGCCAGTACCAGACTGCCACTATATGACCTCAGCCGAGCCCCTCGCCTCTCTGGGCCTCTGTCCCCTACCCTATAAGATGGGGTGATGGTGCCTCCCAGGGGTGGGGAGGGGGGGTCACAGGGACTCGGTGCATGAGAGTGGAAGGACAGTCTGGGCAGCTTCACTTGGGAGGGGTCTCCTAACACCTGCCTGGAAATCTCTCCGAGAGGAGTCCCCATTCTGCCAGCATCTCTGTCGTCCCCAGGACAGTGCCAGGCATACAGTAGGTGCTCAATAAGTTATCCCTCAACTGATTTCTAAATCTATTTCTATCCTGGCCCCTCCCAGGAGAATAAAGCAAAACCAAGGGGAAAAGGAAACTGGAAGAAAAAGTTAATGCCTGCAAGAGAACGTGTCATAGACAGAGCCCTAAAGTGCAGGAGCTGGGGTCCTTACACAGTGGGCAGCAAGGCCCCTGTCCCCAAGGCAAGATTGGGACTCACTCCTTCATGGGCTGGCTGCCTGGGAACTGGGACATACAGGCTGACCTCTAACTTATAATGAGTATCTATTGGGCGGGGTGGCCCTGGACCAGGGACCCTGGTGACCTTCACAGGTGGGGCCTCCCTCAGTCCCTGCCCTCATGGAGACCAAGGTTGGTGGGGCGGTAGAGAAGAAAAAAATCCCTAACAATGGAGGGATCCCCTGTAGCTGGAGGACTGGTGGTCAAGAAAGGCGAGGTGGCCACAGTGAAGCAGACTTTAAGCAGAGACATTGGGATGGGGTGTGTGGGGAAGAATGTTCCTGGCAGAGGGAACAACACAGGCGAAGCTCTGAGCAGGGGATGAGATATCATGGTGAGAGATGTGCCAGGCCCCTGCCGTGCATTGACCAGCACAGTCAAGGCCCAGTTCAAATGCCAGCACCACCTCGGTATGCCGCCTAGCCCTGGCTCCAGGACAGCCACATGGCCTGGGGGCCCAGGATGTGAGCTGGGATAGAGGAACTGTG